ATTTAAATTTTAATAAAATTAACATATTATTTTTATTTTATTTTCACATTTTATTTTATTTATAAAAATAGCACCTTCGCGACAAATTCTTTCCAAATAAGATTTTTATTAAAACTCCAGCCACACAATTGATTAAGTTTTCCCTCCCTCCCTCCTAACACCTTCCCTGGACGGTCCCTGAAAATCTATGGCGGAAAGAGCAGGAAAGTGAGGGAAAATTTTAGTGAGCAAGGGAAAATAGGGGGAATATTGCATAAAATTTTCTTGAGATATTAGGAAAAAGAAACGATAGATTGAGGTAGAGAAAAAAAAAAAGGAGAGAAATGAAGCACATTTCCAAGAAGCTACACAAAGGCCATAATCAAGAGCCTAATCGGACTAACGGGCCGCCGCTGCGGCCGCCGTCTCCCTCATGCGCCACCGATCATCAACGTCCCATGTCCGGAAACTCTCCGACGAGTCCCTCCACGTCATCACCTGCTCCGGCTACTGTTCCGCCGAGCGCCGGGAACGCTGGACTGTGTCGGCAATTAATGGTACCGATTACATGTTGTCGGAGGAGGAATTCCAGGTTCAGTTAGCTCTAGCGATCAGCGCGTCGAATTCGGAGGATCAGATCCGCGCGGCGACTCTGCTGAGCTTGGGCGGCCATCATCAGATGGATACAGGCAGGGATAGGGAGGAGGTGCCCCGCAGAGGATTTATCGAGACATTATTGGGTGAGTGTTCGTCAACTTTCTCCTTACCCATTTTGAGGTCGAATTGGATTCTGGTGGATTCAAGTTGGAATGGATTTTGTAGTGTTGGTGCTGGTGGATGGATTGTAGTTAATGAGCTTACTTAAAGTAGGGGCTTTTGGTCTGTGCCTATAAGCAATTTTGAATTTCTGGTAATTAGAGCAAGTGACCATGGAATTGTGAAGAAAACTGTAACCTTGAGTATTCTAACATCTTGCCTTTTTTGTGAGTTAATCTAGTGGAGAGAGCATGAGTTGGAGAAAAGGGCTATGATTTAAGGAAGTGATTACTTGGGTTATGGTACTTAATCCTTGCTCTTCTGATATCTGGCAGTGATCCATTTTTGGATGACGGTAATTAATGTGTAAATGCTGAAGCATTAATTTTAATTGGATTCAATAGCATCAAATGGGCATGAATTGGGTTTGGATTGCTTATCAGTGTTGGCAGTTGCTGCTGGTTGGTTTTGGACTGTTAGGGTTCATGCAATTTACTCTCAGATTAGGTAAAAATGATGAAATGCAGCATCATGGAGTCTTTCATGCTATGAAATTGTAGTGGATGAGGTTGAACTAAGGATTAGTAATTGTGTTTTGGTGGTTAAACTTTGAGTTTTGTTCTTAACAAATCAAATGTATTTCGTATCTAGTTTTAGATTATATATTGCTGGCCAACAAATTTCATTGCTACCATTTTGGACTTGCATAATTTATAGTTAAGAAAACTATGATCATCTTAATTATTTGAGTCCTGCAATTTCAATTTTAGTAGCTGAGTTGGAATGGTTACTTTTCTTGATTACATACATTGAATTCTTGATCCTTGCTTAATTTGGGGAAGGAGTATCTTCTGTGTACTGTTCTTTTGTTTTCTACTTTGTGAGGCTTTATTCAATCAGGTAAGTAGTTGATTTTGTGATAGAAATGGGATTTAAAATCTGAAAATTTTGTTTATGTGGTTTAAGTTATGTTGAAGTGATAATATTGACTAAAAAAGCAGTTGTTGCCAAATTGAGTTCACTTAAACAATTTAACTTGTAGAAAATTTTTCTATTTAAGAATGCAATCAAATATCTGATTTTTTTGCTAGTTTAAAATATATATTCTCCATGACAGAATGTCTTTCAGGTATATTGAGATTTGAAAGTTTCTTATACATTGCTACTTCATATTAATGCTTGACTGTAATTTGTTTACATATGTTGCTATGCTATACTGCATCTGCAGTTATTCTATTTGGCTTGACTTCTACTTCATATTAATGCTTGACTGTAATTTGTTTACATATATTGCTATGCTGTACTGCATCTGCAGTTATTCTATTTGGCTTGACTTCTGTTATGTGTTTTAATGCACCAGGAGTACAGTGCGCTTGATTACAAAGAGAAAGTGGTTGATGGTTTCTATGATGTGTATGGGCCTTCCACAAATTCAGCACTCCAAGGAAAAATGCCATCTCTTGCAGATCTTGAGACAAATCTTGGGAATTATGGCTTTGAAGTTGTGATTGTCAA